TGCTCGTTGCACTGCCAGCGCGAGTTTCCACAGCGCCTCGTGATGAAGCAGGATGAGTGCCGAGTAGAAGAGCATTGGCCAGAACCGATGGCTGATCTAGGATTTAGGGTTTAGAGTTTAGGTTTACAGTATACTCACTACTTTTTTAGGGCTAATGAGTGTAATTGGCTGATCTAGGATTTTGGGGTATGTTACAGCATACTGTATGCTTACTTAGGGACTAATTAGTGTAGGGCTTTTGCCAACATCGTTGGAGCGATCGCATATGTACTGCAAGCTGAGTATGACACCTTCATTGCAGCGGCGCAAAAGCCCTAAACCCTAAACCCTTGAACCCTAAACTGAAATTGGTCACATCCGCGTGTTGGCCAGTGCGAGGCATAGAATATCTTTTGCCCCAGCCTGCGCACAAATGGGTGTTTAGACTTTCAAGCGGCCCGGCACACAACCAATTGCCGCCTTCGAAAGATCATCCATTATGCGATTCCTGGAAGGCTGCAGTCAACGAGTGCATGTGGATCTTCTGCAGTACATGAGATGTTCTTGACAAGTGGCGACTCGCTGTTCTTCACCAGAGCCGACACTGAGTGCCAGTTCTCCTCTTTCCTCGGGATGCTGCTTCAGGAGTCTTGAGATATCCGTCCTCTTACTACCAGTCTTCTTGCGCGGTCTGTCCGTCCGTGGCGGCAATGGCGGTAGGGTGGTGGTGGCGGTGGTGTTGTGGTGCTGCTGCTGCTGCTGCTGCTGGCATCTTCCCAAACCCTCACAGAGACACCGCAGGCTGGAAGATGCCTGACAAAGAAAATCCAATAGCGCAGCCCGGGCTCAGCTCGGTCACCGTGGGTGATCTCTTGCCGGGCATGAGCTGGCAAACGGCCGCCAGGTCGTCGCGGTGACAGTTGCACACGATCATCACGTGTTTGGTGGCCGTGAGGTAACCGGATACTCCTCGGGCTTTGGACATGTCCACGACTCAACGGTTGCGCAACAGAACTTCAACAGCAGCTTCACCGACGCCAACTGAAATAAAGAGACAGAGATGCTTTGCCAAGAAACTGCTCTCAATAAGCTTTAGCACGTCCGCTTTGCTTCCACTGCACAAGCCATTTGCCTGGCATCGGGCAATCCGTCGCGGGGAAAAGCAGAACGAAACAGGAGATTGCAGATGTCGAAGATATAGAAACCAGGGAGCCATGCCTTCGTCGGAAGCTGCTGAAATAGGAGGGCCTCGCAGCCATGTGGGTAGCACATGGAAGGCAATCCATTTTGCAGTCCGAATCGCCTCGGTCTCCAAGACTTCTGACACAATGTCCAGACCTGCGGTTGCACACCAAACACAGCCATAGCAGAAGAACGGCCCTTGGAACGTTGCAATGCGGCAGCGGTAATTGCAGTCCTTGCCTGCAGCTTTCATGGTCGTGCCAGTTTCGACCAGGTCAACCACGGCCTCTGGTCACATGACAGATCCCTCGCCTCGACACCTGCAACAAACAAGAGACAACGACATAACAGAAACCTCTGGGTCCGACAAGCCGGCTATGGTCGAACTTGCAGCATCAACAGGGCCTACGAGCCAAGTCTTCACGCACAGCCACGTTCGCCCAAGCCGACCAGACCCTCGGCCCCTCGACAGAATTCCAACAGCTCTCCCACCAGAAATCAAGAGACTCAGGACTGCCAAGCCGTACCACCGTCACCCGTAAAGACTGAGGCCTACAGGCCTTCCCGAACCCGAGAAGCTACGAGACCTGACCTGGCAGGACCTGAGGCGCCGACATCTGCTAGGCCCAGTCCGCAGGCTGCTTCGACCGAGCCTGACACTTCCTGGCGTCCAGAGCGTGTCTGCGTGTGTTCCCGGGCTTCCCTCAACTCATCCGGCCGGCGGTCTCAACCTCTCCGTCTTTCGTCTCCCGGTGTCTCAGGAATAAGGGTAAAGCCGTGAACTAGACCCTCATGCTTGTTTGCTTCGGAAGGCAAAAGCCGGAGGACAGGCCCTCTGGGGTCAGGACCGAACCGTAAAGCAAGGCACTCGCCGCTCTGTCTTCTTTTGGGGTTGCCGATCTCTAGTTCAAAAGATATCGTGTGCCTAACACGATTGTTGACACCTACCTGCAGTTGAAGCCTGCTGTAGCAGAACGGATTATGATGCTGTGCCCTTGCCAGGGGGCAGACCAAGGTTGCTGCAACAAGTGTGCTGCTCGCTGTGTTTGCCCGACGGTAAATGTGCGTCATTACCGTGCTTTGCAGAATCGCTTCCGCTCAACAACTTAGTTTCCGACAGACTAGAGTCCCCGTATGCTTGCTGCGCGAACTTTACAGCAGATGATGCGTTATTCAGGGGTGTTCCGAGCTGACGATGATTCTGGAAGCTGCATTTTGCGCCTCTGTCGCAGTGGTCTAAGCAGTTCTTCGTAGGGGGTCCCGGTTCATGACTTTTGGGGCAAAAAGTTCGGAGGCAGGTGAAGAAAAGCAGATGCAGCCGTCCATTTCCTGTGCCAGGGAGTCGCATACTAGAAGGAGCCTCAAAGATCTGCTCTCAGCTAGGAATAATTTAGGGTCTTCTGCTGCACCGGTCCTCGTAGAATCTTGCAATGTTTTGCTGACAGCACGCTTTGTTGCAGAGGCTATGACGTCAGTGGAAACGAGAGGCAAGAGAGACTTTGTTTCTAGTTATTTATTCTCGGCAGCACCGCCGAGTCCAGACTCTGGACCCTGCAAGCCTTTTTATGTCCGAAGTCGATTACCTTGCTGATCTAGGACAATCCTTTCAACACTCTCCTGGCATAGTGTTGGAAATGTTCGGCTAAAATCGCCGAAGTCCGGTGATCTGTAGGTTGCTCTCACGGATCCAATGACAAAGAATGGGAGGTTTCCAACGTGGTCTCCGAATGGCCGCATGATTTGATGATACGAAGGTGGCAAGCAAGCCTTGATGTGCGTCCTCTGCTGCGAGTCCTGGCAAACAGGTCCCAGCGTATTAGTTGTACTCCTCATGCTGATGCTGTTCCTGCTCCTCTCTCTCCTACTCCACTTCCGGACTGCCACTACCCCCACCACGGCCACTACAACTGTTGCGACGAATCGCTGCTACTAGTCCAAATACTATGAGTATGACGACTTATAAGAATTCCACAACTACTTACTGCCCACCTACGTACCGACCGACCTGGCTACCTGCCTACCCATCCACCCATCCACCCACCCTCCCACCGACCAACCCACCTACCCACCCACCGACCCACTCGCCCGCCCACCCGCCCGCCCACCCGCCCACCGACCGACCTACAGACGACGACGATGACCACAACCACCACTACGACCACGGCTACATGGCTAGACGGCTGCACGGCTCGACGACCACGGCTACGACAGTGATGAAGACGACGACTGCGACTACTGGTACTACGCCTACTACTGCTATTACTATTACGACGATGTCAACAGCAACTGCAACAACGATCCTACTCCTGCAACTCCTCCAACTCCTAGAACAACACCTGCTGCTGCTGCTGCTACTACTATTACTGCTACTGCCGCTACTGCTTGTTGCAACCACCACCATCACGCACCACCAGCCCCCGCCATCCACCACTACCACCTCTACCACCCAACCACTCACACCATACATGTAACTTGAATAACAACGATAAGAAGACAGCTAGCAAACCAAACACGACAAGAGTTCAAGAGCTCTGCGCAGGTCCTCACCGGCCAGGCGGTCGAAGTATCTTTTCGTCAGCGCTGGGAACGACGTGACTATGCGCTGGCCGACGAAATCCTGCGCTGTCAACGCCAACTACAAGAGCTTGGTCTGTAAGATTTTAGGATTGCGGATCGTCCCTTGTAGTTTATTGGGGATTCATTAGACTTCATTTTAGGTCTGATGCCCGGGAGTTACATCTTTTTGTCGCAGTGTCCTTCGGAGGTCGGTCCTCAGATTGCGAGTACAAAGCATGGACACGTTGATTCATTCGTCGAACACGCCGCGTGGCCGCGACTCTTGCTGCAATTATTCTTGCTCTCTACGAGGACTTCTGTCTTGCTGTTGCCATGATCACTGCGATGATGATTTCAATGACTATGGATACCACTTCTGCTATGATTGATACTGTTGTTGTTCGAGGACACCCCAAAAAATGAGAACAATGATGTAGCAACACGCATGCAACAACCGGTTGCTGATAGTAGTGGCTTCTGACATGGCATGCTGCCAAGATGCACAGTGTTGCTGCGGTGCTTGCAAACAGAGCCTGCATTTTCCAATGCCTAGCTTGAGGATGACCTGAAGAGCAAGACGGAGCTAGCGTTTCTGCATTGCGAACCCTTGTTGGCAGTCTGACAGTACCGTGCCTTGACAGGGGCACACTCTGCATCGACGTACCCAGCGTCGATCCTCAGAAGCCAAGCACATATCAAACGCAGGAGGCAGGAAGTTGAACGACAGCCAGCCCAATAAGGTCGGGGATCATGGACTCTTCCAGCATGTCGCTCCCAGAAATGCCGACGTCCACATTTCCCTCCATGACCTGAGATCATCCCGTGGCATAATGCAACACACAAATGTGGCCTTGCGCCGCGACTCCATTCTGGCACCTCTAATGGCTCTAATGAAGCAAATGTGGCCACGCCATCTACCGCGAGGCCTTTGTAACTTGTGCGGGCTGCCTGCACTGACAGCTTTTAAGGTGATCCTAGAAGGTCTGCATCGGCAGCCTGAATGAACCCGTGAGGGCCCCAGCTGCTACCGGGGCACATAGCTCGGTATGTCCGCAGCAGGCAGGAAGACCTTGCAACCATCTGGTCACACCACAGGTTCGCGAGAAGCCAACTGTGAGAGTGTCTTGCCTATGACGAAGGCCTCCCTTCTGTACGTCACAGCCTAGTTTGGCAACTTCCTGAACTGTAACATCCCTTCCTGCAAGGCTTGCACCGATTTTGATTGAGCTCTCAAACTCCTACAGCACTCACTGAGAGCAAGTCCAGCTTGATTGGGACATCCTTGCACATGGCCACGTCCAAGCGATCTGGACGCTTGGCATCGAAGCCAGCTCCCTTCAGGATCTTCATGACCTGGTAACTTTCAAGCCAATGATTCTCAGGATTGTGGTGTTTATTTTCTGATTCGGCTGATTCTTCGTGCGACGGTTGAACGGCTGGCTTGGCTGGTGTTGCTGCTGGAACCCAACTGCCCTAATTGCTTTTGCTCTTCGTGTTAAGCGCATCGTGACTAGTCAGGTCACCAGCTCAGTCTGCTTTTGATTACCACTCGTCCTCCTCCTCCTCCTTCTATGTCTGCTACGGCTGCTGCTGATGATGCTCCTCTCTCTACTACCACCACTATCGCCACCACTACCACTACTGCTACATCTTCTACTACTGCCACCACTACCACTACCACTGCTGCTGGCGCCACCGCCGACGCTGCTCGTGCCGCTACCGCCACCACTACGGTTGATGATATAATCCTGCTTTACCCATACTACGGAATATACCATAATTCCCATAGCTTAGGGTCATTCAGGTCAGGCAGGATTTGTATCATCAACAGTACGACTGCCTGTGCCACTGCGACTGGGACGACGACGACGGCCACGACTGCGGGCTACCGCTACTGCTGGAACTTATGTTACTGCTGCTACAAAGCTGCTACTGCTGCTACTACAGTACCTCTACATCTACTTCTGCGCTAATGACTGCTGCCGTTGCTACTGCTCCGACTGCTGTTTCTGCTGCAGTATGCGACGATGCCGAGGAGACACTTCAACATTATCGTGAAGGCATGGCTTCTACAACCACGAGTAGTTCGGTTCCGAGCAGATAAGATTCGTCACTAAGCGCAGTATGATCTAACGTGAAGCTGGGATTGGAGTTCCAGCCCAAAAGCGTGATTTCTGAATTTCTGCACGGCGACGGTTCGCTGATCGTGTGGTGATGTTGACGATTAAATTAATTGGTGGTGATGCTGCAGATGATCATGATGGTTCTGATGCGATCATCATCTTCACGCACTCCGACAATCCCCATCATCAACATCCCAGATCGAAACCTTGAACACCACCAGAACCACCACCAACACCGTCACCACAACGAGCGCCACGCACCATCATCAACAAGACCAGAACCACGTTCCCACCATCACCCTGATAATTGTCCCTCCTCATCCCTCTTCGCCACCATCATGATCATCAGCAGCAACAGCAACGACGACGCCTATCACCATCGACAACATCAGCAACAGTCTGACCACCAACACAAACGATGACGAACTGCAACGAAGATGGCAGGACAGCGCTTGCGCGGTGGCGATGGTAGTAGGGTAGTGATGGTCATCGTGATGGCGATTTGTCCCTGCAGGTGAACGTCCTGTGAAATCAAGTCTGTCGTTGCGCCTGGTCCTGTCTAGGTGTTCTTCAGACAGGTGATCTTCGTGAGACATGCTCGTGGCGGTTGGCTGAGACCCAGGCATCCTCATGGATCCTGCAATGAAGCAAGGCAGGGCATCCGAAATTGCGCGGTTTCAAGCTTTTCGGCTTGTATCACCAGCCGCTTTGGCGAAGCTGTGGCAGACGTAAGGCTGCAGTCCTCCCCTTCTTCGGCACCGCAAAAAGGACCACGTTCTCTTCGATCACTCCATCCGGCATGGAGCTCCCCTTCCTCAACGACCCAGGGCTGTCGCCCCCGTAGCCCGCCATGTTCCTTTGTGCTTTCATTGAACTGGTAGGGATTTGGTCATGAACAAGAGCCCTCAGTCTGCAGGTAAGCGCCGTGCCCTTGACAAGGGCCAAGGCAAAGGAACTCTCTGCGTCTTTGGCAGCTATTGATGTTCTGCGTATGTATGCTATGTTACAGTAGCACGAACTGTGCACACGATTGCCCGATGCCGCGTGCTGCTTGATAGTAACAAGCGTCCTCCTCGATTCATGTCCAGTCATGTGCTACTCAAAAACTGCGGCAACAAATGGGGTCTGGCGCGCAACACTATCACCAGCAAAGAGTAAAGAGACTCGGGCTTCGACTTCCAGGCAGGAGCTGTAATTCGTCAAGAGCTCCTGTCTCATCTCGTCAAAATATGAGCTCGTTTGCTTCGAGGCACATGGCAGACAGCTAGACCCGACAGCCGTTTGTTGAACTTCCTGATGCAGAGCAGTCTCACCACCGCATCGCGCAGCTTGCTCTTTGACAAACTCCAACGACAGATCGTGGAGGCGGATTCGGGGACCATCTGGCACACAAAGCTGTTTTGCTTCCAGTGCAGGTAGTGGAGGCACATCTGCGTGACATAGTCCACACATGGCCTGCGGCGCCCTCTTCTCTACCTCTGCACGTTGCTCTTGTTTGTGCTAAACGATACTCCGACTCAGCGTGCTGTCAACAGCGATGCCGTTGATGCTTACTCAGGCACGTGCGAATGAGGTGAAGTCGCTCCAGTCGGGGCAGCTGGGTGTCCAGATCCTTGTGCCGGAAGATTGTTCCTCAACTTGCGGCAAACCGGAGCCTACAGGTGGTGGGGTCATCTTTTGCTCTGCGAGGCACGCAAAGCTGCAATCGGCAATAGCACGTCATCAGGGAAAACAGCCATGCCCAAATAGAGGTCTTTGTCCTGAGCCGTGTCATGCGGCTGCAGCATGCTGCAGCAACCCTGTCCGCAGGCCGTTTCAGGAAACTTCCTGCTGCTCGAGCCGTTTGTGTGCCAGCCCAATGCAGCGCTTGATGGCGTTGGGCTCTGCCTAGCGGTCCACCAGCAAGGAAAAAGGAACACCGATTGAGTTTCACAGATGTTGCAACGAAGCGATAGGTGCCTTCTCCTGCGCTGCAAGCTCGTCACAAAATGCGGTGAAAACGGTCGCAGGCCTGTTGTGAGGCATCTTTCCGCGCTGTCAGGACATCTTACTGGTTGAAGATGGTTCAGGCATCTTGGTTGTCGCCCGGTTGTCGTAGTGTAGCACACAACATTGCAGTGATGAGAAAGATAAGAACAGCGCTGCCGCTGCTGCTGCTTCTGTGGATGCTAGTCACTGCTAGTCTTTGCTACGATTGGCATAACTAGGATCACGGTCCTCATCCGAACCTTCTTGTGCACAAGGCCTGCATGTCGGTTGAACCCTTTACATGCTGGAATAACCTAATGAGGCACACAAGCATGAACCTTTCACACCAAACTCCAGATCTGGGCCTCTGCAACCACAACCCTGAAACATACTAAGCATTCGGAGCCCCAGAACACACAAACCTCACCCCCTTGTCAACACAACACAACCAATGCTCGTGGCTTGTGGACTTGAGCTCCTGAAGAAACACTGAGAGCACTGAAACTTTGGAACCTGGGCAAACACGTGATATGCTGCAAGCCCGCACGTACATCCCAAACAACAACAATGGTCCCACAGCCCTTCCCAGTTCGGCTCGCTTCTGGCCGGCATCGCGCTCTGCTTCCAGCTGGCCTCGCAAACAAGGCCGTCTCAGGTGTCAGGGAGCTTCCATGCTGATGCATATGATGTATTGGCGACGCGTCACTGTAAATCTCAGCCATGAGAGGTATACTTCAGTCGCTTGTACCTGATGCAAGACTCTTGTTTCCCTCTGAAAATCGAACTTAGCCAGACTTCCTGCAGAGTTCCGATGTGCTAAGACTGACTAAGCGAGCAAGCCAAAACCCCCGTAAGCTTTGTATCTCACCTTCAAGGACGAACTAGGTTGTGTCGGGCCCGACTCACAACTCGCCTGTGGCACCAAGGATGGACAAAGCCAAAGGGGAGCGTGAGCAGAGCTTTGCGAGGCGCGTCAGAATGGCACCATCTCCTTCTCTTCTCCAGAGTCTAGCAGAGAGTGGCAGAACCGCAGTACGCTCCACTGGGTCCAAGAATGCACGGGAATCCCAAAGCGGCGCAGTCCTTTCAAGTGGAGGAGCTCCCGCGACTCCGCGTCCTCACAGGGCTCACCTCTTGCACTTGCTTCCTGCTTACAGTAACCTACTCGTGTGGAGAACCATGAAATCATGGAGGCATGGCTGCTGTCCGTCAGGTCACCCAAGCGCAACAACTCCGCCTTCTGCACCAGATCTGCGAAACGAGTGGTGACAAGAACTGCCACGTTGCTCCAGGTCTTTGGGCGTCCCCGCATTGGGACGAAGCACTCCAAGTGCGATGCATTCCACACATCGTCCAGCACGACTAAAACTTTGCACCCTGACAACACATTGTAAAGGCGGGCATAGCCATCCGAAACATCGGCCGGTGGATCATGCACCCCGAAAGCGCGCAGAAGAGTCGATTGCAGGCTCAGCACATCTGGGCTCTGACCGACAGTGACATATGCAGCGCCCTGAGGGAAGGTCTCACACAAGGTCGTTTCATCAAGCAGCGTCGCACATGTGGCGACGGTTTTGCCCATGCCTCCAGCACCATGTACAAGACAGAGCCCTGATGCTTTGAGGCATTTCTGCAGTGATTTGACCACAGAATCGGAAAGTCCAGCACGGCTGGCATAGTTGGCAGGCAACGGAGGCACGTCTGTGAGGATCTGCAGTGGCATGCTTTGGCGCCGCCACCTTCATCTTAAAACAATGTCGGGTGCTGCTCGCACGATGGGCGGCCGATCCTGAAGTCGCTTGCGGCAGGGCTGGGCTGTTGCCATGATATGTCAGCGTGCCCGAGCGCGTGCGTGTTGTGTGTGTGTGTGTGTTTTTTTTTTGTCGTGTGTGTGCGTGTCTGGATCATGGATGTAGCAATTCCAACCTGAACACTCACCGCAGTCAGTCCTGGAACCCTTTGTTTGCGGCTCGAGCCCAACTGCGAGCACGTCAGCAGCAGGAGCAACAGCAGAGTTCAAACACACATTCCTGCCCTGGACCTGAGCAGCATCTGGCCCTCGTGCTCGTTTGCCGAAGTTTAACCGTCGCATTTTTGTTGATGTAATACGCTTCAAAGGCATGAAACATGCAACATGTCTGACAGAAGGAACCGCGGTAAACAACACAACTGCCTCAGCACCTTCTGCGTACTATTCGCAAAATGTGAGCAATCACAGAGTGGTATGTGACCTTATCATCGCATCCCTACCCCCATCTCTGCTGAGATCACAAGCTTGTGACGGCCTCTGACTTTGATGTCACCTCCACCGCCGCATGTTCTGCCAGGGTTCCCCGGAAGTTCTAGATTGAGGCATTGCCGGCACGGAAGCTATCTTTAATGCAAAACGCAAGAGCTACCTCGCACATCGTCCTAAACTTTTCCGCAGCATGTCAGTCCCGATGTGAGATGCTAGCGATGCTTGCAAGATGTCAGCCAGCGACCAACTTAATGCAGCAAGAACACAGGGACCTTTCTCAAACATTGCTGCCAGTTGCACCTTTATCCCAAAGCTCATGATCATGGAGAAGTCTGGCAGTTTTGCGGCACCTCCCATCGACGTCAAGGTGCACACCCTGGTGCGGAAACACGAATTGTCTCCGGCCCTAGCAGATGCCACATACGTGCTCAAGCATAATCCTGCAATCCTTGCCACGGATGACAAAAGCCGCGAGCATCAGCATGTCCAACCAGACTTCCACAACGGAGCAATGTCGCGATTGGCAGGGTCATGTCCGATGTGGGGTTGATAGGCATGTCCACCCTCGGAATCACGTCTCAGCACGCCTCCAGCTTTCTCACACTCGGGGTCATGTTCCCCGCCCGCGTCAGGCGAAGTGAATCCACGAGACCTCTCCGAACGCTTTGCCAGGGCCTGCCATTGGATACAGTTGCAGCTGCGTGATCAGTATTCTGTCTCTATAGTCTTGCTCAAAACTACCCTATACATAGCTTCCGGGATCGGGGGCATCCAGGGTCATGTAGAACCTGGGGCTTTGAGCTTAGCGTGGGCCTGGTGCACCTGGTGCGTAGAGCTCCCATTGAACCGGTCCGTCGAGGAAATGGACCGCTCTCTGAAGCTGGAGAACCGAAGACTCCGGCTTGCTCGGGATGCTTGGGGCCCAGACGTAGGGCGGTGGCTCGAACGGATTGTCCGCCGGATGCCAGATCTTGCAGGCGCAATCTTCCTCCGGCTCGTCGAGAAGGGCCCTTCGGAATGGCGGCTCACTGAGCGACCGTCGTTTTGACGTGGGCTCGGACTCGTCCACCGCCTCGAAGCTCAGGAAGGTGCGCCGAACGACCAACTGCAGGCTCTTTACCTCCTCTGCCTCCTCCTGCTTCTGGTGAGGCTTTGCAGGGGCCTCCTCTCTCTCTGTCTCCCTGGCCTCCGCGAAGCACCTGCCAAGCCTGCCGGCAAATATGTTGCAGAACTAGAGGGATGCGTCCGCTCTGCATGAATACGATATGCTTTCTTGTGTCTGCGCGCTGGTCCAAGACTAGAGCTCCGGCTGCGTCTGTCTACATGTGTTTTCATAAACGTCCAACCTGTCTCCTTCGTCGAACTTCTCTCGGCCGCCACAGCAGCTGGCGCCCATTTTGTATTCGCGGAAATTCAGGTCTTTGGGTGGGACGGCATGCTACTGCGGCAGATGTCACAGCCTATCTTACCACCATACGAAGACATACTCCTCGACCAACACTCCTGAACCTACGGCACTCAAAGTCTGCGCAGGACTCAAATCCAGAATGCTGCATGGGCAAGAGAAGCACTCAGCGTGAATGCTTGCCCTGTGGATCTAGGACCCGGGAGCTTCTACAAGCTGGCCGGACTTGTGTGGCAGTGCAAGGCGAGGCACTGCTACATCCTTGATCGGGACTCCGAAACCACCCTGCATACGTAGACCGTCACGTCGCACTTCAAAGTCAGTGTCCTGGCCACCGTATACCTCGTGTCCGGCTTATCAGGCCACATCCCTGAGCTGAACGTTCGAGCACTCGACTATCTATGAGGAGCTCTTCAAGTAGCTGCAAGGTGGACCTACGTCTCCCGCAAAACTCGGAGGTGACAAAGGTTTTGTTTCGCACAGTGCGCCATTCCCCTGGCATCTCTGGAAATTGGCTGTGGGAAAATTCAGCCATCCTCCAAAGCAACGACAACTGCAAAATCTTGCCTATGTACACCTCTGGCTCGGTGACACGACACAACTGGTACCTACCTTTGCTGCACACAAGTCGCTGCAGAACATTTGCGGCGCGATTATTCACAAAACCCTCGGTGAAGTTGAAGCTCGCGCTGGGTTGAAGGAGTCGCAGTCGCAGCAGCTGGCTCTAAGAAGGTCCGATATCGTGAGTCTCGTCACCAGCTCACATCAGCTCGCCAGCCCTCCTCCGCATTCCGCACTCGGCACCTTCACAAGTGCAGGCGGATACCCCTCTACCTTCACGTGCATCCACAGACTGGAGCTTTCGACTCAGGACTATTCAGCAGCCTGTGCCAAGGCCCTGCGATGGCGGAGAATCTCAAGGGCATCCCACAAGGCATCCCAGGACACCGTCCTGGGGCAAGGCTCGCTGCGAGCTCTTCCCGTGCATGCAAAGTTCGCGCTGCTGTCCTCAGCAGTCATAGGCTCAAGGACAGCCCATGGTTGTTCAGGCATCGTATGGAATCGGATGCGCAAGAAGCAGCCGTGCCTTCCGGGGGAAGCTTGAAAAGGGAGACAGTCTGAAACTCGCGCTCGTGGGATTCGTTGCCATGTCTTGCTATGCTCGGGCAGCAACTTCAGCGGGTACTCGACCGAGGACCGCTCGCGTCAGAAGGCCTGGCCTGGGAGAAAGTCCCAAGTCGCACGCAACCGAACCGAACCATTTGGCCCTGCCTGCAAACTGCAGTGTCCCACTCCGCAACATGGAGAGCTTTTGGCTCTCACAAGCCGATGAGAAAGCACCCTCCCCTGCCTCCGCAGCTTCATGCAGCTGGCATCCGCAAATCTAGGAAGCGCTCAACCACCTCATCGGAACTGCTTCTGTGCAGCGAAGGCTGAAGATGTGGGAGTTGAGCTCACGACGTATCGCCATGTAGCCGCACTTTTGACGAGACACTCCTGTGCCAATTTACAATGAGTGTCATTGGCATCTCTACCCGGACCCGAAAGCCCTCACCTGTGAAGCTGCTAATGGTTCTAGACGCGTCGAGAATTTAATCTGCAAACTGCCACTTCCAAATGCAGGCAGTCCAAAGTGCGCGGACACTCGGCACACGGGACATGCAATTTCGGTCGTCGATAGCCGATAGCTTGAAATGGCGTCGTTGCCGACACGATGTCTCAGCTCTCATGAAGGTGTAGTTGGAAAAAACGCATGGCATGCTCCTCATTGAAATTCTTCATGGCGGCGGACACGGCCTGGTGCTGAACTCCTAGCTTTGAAGCAGGTCTACAAAACCCGTGCGTCCCTGAACCGGACCCTTGGCTGATCTTGGCGGGTTCCGCCGTTCTTCTTCAACTCAAAACAAAATTGAAACCTGCCTGTAGGTCAACCGTGACCAGCTGACTCATGAGGTCCGGCAAAGACCTGCACCCACAGAGCCCGCTCACCGTGGTAACCCCTTGACGGAACAAGAAACCGTCCTTGGAATCTGGGTTGCCGGCTTAAAGTACTGCACGTGCGGGAACATGGCCCAGTCGGTGTACTTGGACCAGAATATGGCGCGCCTGACTAAGCGGCCACTTCGGCAGCGGCAAACGCAAAGCGGAAGGCCCCAGCTGCAAATCCAGAGCGCCAAAGCCGTCGAAGAAGGGGTTTGGCATCCGGTCCTGGCTCATCGGAAGTAGTTGAAAATCGGGAAAGTTCCGAGACTTGGTGAGGTGCAGACCTCTTCCGGAGTCAGCGTCGAAAGCACTGGGCCTTTCGGGCACGGGAGGGCTGATACCGGCTCTAATGCAAATACTTTTGAGAATGAAGAATCATTCACAGCACCAGAGCCCCTAACTCAAAACCGCTGGCGCAGGAAATTCCATTGACATCTCCTGCCTCGCCCAGGCAGGAGCTGCAGATCGCCCAAGTCCGGTCGCGTGTGCTGACCTCTTCAAGATTCTTCAAACTGTCCTCTACAACAAGGTTTCAGGATTCCCACCAAACATATTATAGGGGAAAAATATTGTTTCCCCTATAATATGTTTAGTACAACAAGGTTTCAAGATTCCCACCAAAGATGCCCCAATGCCAGAGCTGGAAGGGCACCTCAGCTGTGAGCTTTTCTCAACTAGCCGGACACTGGGCATGCCTGGGGCTCCAGCGAATGTCGGCATGTTCATAGAATAGAACTCCCAGAAAAACATCAGGGACGTGTCGTAAGGAAAGGCCACCTTGGTGGCAAGACAGCATTTTCGCACTCATTTTCAATTGGCAGGCTTCTCCCGTTTCCGAGACACCACAGCTCGATAACGGGACAAACTTTGATATGAGAGTGTGTCGTTGTAGACCTGGCCAGGCGCTGGTACCGGTTCCATTCCACTCTCCAATGCCCGTGCCTCTTCTGTGGTGTGCGGGTCCCTTGGTGCAGAGATCATGCTCAGCTACAAGCCGAAGACCCTGTCCCCCAGTGCCGGCGTGCGTCAGCAGGTCTGTGAATTGCACGAACCGTAGTGCATAGTCAGGGTTCGCATCCACGAAGCGATTCAGAATGCACTCTTGCCATCCACCGCTGGTTCCAGGCCGAGATATCAATACCTTCCACAGGCAAACTGCGGGACTAAGCAAGTGTTGTTGTCAATCGAAAAGCGCCTCGGAATGGCGAAGGGGCAGGTACGTCACGTTGGTGTGGAGCCCATGTATTCTCAATGTTGGAACTCGCAGGCCTGTCTGCCACGCCACCTGCCGGCATCATCAACTGCAAACAAGTGAAAGTCAATCTTTGAAGATAATGCTACATTTTTGTTATGATATGACTGGAGAGCCTCCTCAGCCAAGTAGGCATTGTTCGCTGCCATGATGGTACGCTCGCTCTTGCCCAGCGCTACGAAAGCTTCTAAGAATGCCGTGCGTTCATGTCGCTGCACATGTTGTAGAATCGGCAAGCCTTGCAGGGTTGCTCAACACAACACTTCAAGACACTAAACCGGTCTTGACTCAACGCCCCGCCTAGATATGCAAAGATCGGGGTGGTGCGGCCTAAAGCATCCGGGTGCGCTTGCGCTGCATCCCAAAGAAGCCAGCACCAGACAGCTGGAATGGAGCACATCCATACGTCCTGAGAAAGTAATAAAATGGCATGTTTCGACGAGACAAGATACTGCCCAACCACAGGAGGAAAAATGGTCCGGCTTTGTCCGAACCCAAGCGGCGGCTCTTGACAGTTGGGGCATCATCTCCTGACGGAAGGCCAAGGAGAGATCCGGGAAGGGCATGCTCGATCCGACCTGTCAGAGCAGACGTAGGGGGCGTTCGCAGTCCCTCGTCGCACCCCACTCATGAAAAATCTACTACTGGTCAGTGCTAGTATCAATGAAACTAGGATGGGAAAAACGAAGCAGGGCCGAAAAGGCAACAGGCCAAACCCGAAAGCCCAACACCCTGTCACCTAAGGCCAACCCCGCCTTGTACACCCATCCCAAGAATTCAAAGTTGCGCCCCTCTGCGCACAACATGGGCCGGTAGTTGCGGCACATTTTGGTGGCAAGAGAGTTGCCGCGAAACTCGACATGGTAGTCATCATGGAGGAAACCTCAGATCGCACGTAGACCACATGTAAGCATGATAGACAGAGGCCATGAGAGTCACCAAGTGGTGGTGGTGGTGGTGGTGGTGGTGGTGGTGGTGGTGGTGGTGGTGGGTGTCATAGCAGCAGCAGCAGCAGGAGTAGTAGTAGTAGCAGTAGTAGTAGCAGTAGTATCAGTAGTAGTTACTAGTAGTTGTTGTTGTAGTAGAAGTCGCAGCAGTAGCAGTGCAGTAGCAGTAGCAGTAGTAGTAGTAGTAGTAGTAGTAGTAGTAGTGGTGGTAGTGGTAGTAGTGTTAGTAGT